TTATAACAATTTTTTGAAACAGGATTCTCATTTAGGTAGTTTTCAGTTTTTATTATTATAAAAGAGTACATCTCTCTGTGTCTATTTATAGACTAACCTAGGCTTGAATCCTGCATGGAATTTATGGTTCAAATGCATATTAAAAAATTTCACAGCTATTGTACTGTTGTTAAATGTATTTTGATACCCTTTAAATAGTCTTATTTTTATTATATTATAAAATATTATAAAGAAATGAGCTTTTTTTGGTATTTCAAGACAGGGTTTCTCTGTGTAACAGCCCTGGTTGTCCTGTAATGAACCCTGTAGACCAGACTAGCCTTGAACTCACAGAGATCCACCTGCCTCTGCTTCCCAAGTGTTGGGATTAAAGGCATGTACCACCACCACCCTACCCTTATGATATTCTTATGCATGTATGTACTTAGAGTTTCTTTCCAGCCTGGTCTCATAGCTGATTAGCCACAAATAAACACATGGACACTATACTAATTATAAAACTGTTGGCCAATGGCTTAGGCTTCTTATTAGCTAGTTCTATCTTAATCATTAATCCATTTCTACTAATCTATATATTGCCATGAGGCTGTGGCCTACCTGCAATTCAGCATGTTACTCCTTGGGCAACATGGCATCTCCTCAAGGCCTCTCTCTGCCTTGCTCCCTCCAGCCTTCTCCTAGTCTGGTAGCCCCACCTATCTTCCTGCCTGGCTATTGGACAATCAGTTTTTTATTAATCAACCAATAAGAGAAAATTATTTACAGAAGGACATCCCCCATCACATGTATATCATGGGCATCAATCTAATTCACTTCCCAATAACTACTACCATTCCCCTCTTCACCTTGCCTACTGTCCTTTTCTCTTTCCAAATAGTACTCCTTTTGCTTTTGAGTACTTTCTAAAAGTCTTGATTCTGAATATGAGAGAAAACATGTTTGCCTTTCTGAGGCTTCTTTTATTTAACATGATAATCTTTAATTCCAATCATTTTCTTGCACGTGACTGAATAATGCTTTATTGTATAGTTATTCCACATTTTCTTTATCCATTCACTTGTTGACAGATATCTATGCTGATACCTTCACAAGGAACTGCCATACTGATATCCATAGTGACTACATAAATTTATATCCACACTAATAGTCTATAAGGGTTCCTTTCATGACACATCCTCACCAGTATTATTTGTTGCTTGAATATTTGATGATTTGTCATTCTGATTGAGTTGCGTAGAATCTCAATGCAGTTGTTTATTAAGTTTTTAAAAATTATTTTAAGTGTATGTGTAATTGAGGTTTGCATATAACTGAGTTAGTGACCCTGAAGAGAGAAGAAGATATCAGATCCCCTGGAACTAAGGTTAACAAATGGTAGTCAGTGGCCTGATATGGGTGTTTGGAACTGCTGTTGCTATTTCAAAACAGTGGTGTCTGAGAGAAAGACACCATGTGACAGAGTTCAAGTGGAGGTTTTTTTTTATTAGGGGATAAATATCATAAAAGGGGGAAAAGGGAGGGTGGGAGACCAGTCTCTAGGGACAGGAGCAGCAGGAGAGGGGAAAAAAAGGTGTGTGTGTGTGGGGGGGGACAGACAGAGAAAGGGCGATGGAGGGGGGGAAGAGAGAGAAAGAGGAAGAGGGAGGGAGAGAGAGATGGGAGGTGAGCAGGGCCCTTTTAAAAGGCAACATAGTGAATAGGCACAGGTGATGCTCTTAGTGGCAGCAGCTGAGGATGTATCCTGTCAGAACTCCAAAGGCAGACCAGTACAGATGCCTAAATACTAATAAATGGTAGGTGTTGGGAATCAAACTCAGGTCCTCTGCTGGAGCAGTAATGCATGCTTTTGCTGGCTGAGTTATCTCTCTAGCTTGTCAATGTAGTATTGATGAATGTTTCCATAATGGCTATGGATGTTGAACATTTTAAACACGTTTATGGACTTATTTTATTCATTCTTTAAAGAACTATCAGGTAAATTTATTCACCCATTGGTTAGATAATTTGTTTTAATGTTTACTTTTTTTAGTTTATAAAAGAGTCTAGGTACTAATCCCTAATAAGTGACAAAGATTTTTCTGCTATTCTTCAGGCTGTATCTTCACTCCTGTGATGTGTCCTTTTCTGTGAAGTTTTTTTTTTTTTTTTAGTTTCCTCTGTCCTATTAGTCAATTCTTGCTATTATTTCCTGAGTCTTTGGAGTCCTTTTCAGAAAGTCCTTGCCTATGCCTCTGTTTTGATTTTTCCTCCTAAGTTCTATTAATTTCAAAGTTTCAAGTCTTATATTAAGGCCTTTGATCTATTTTGAATTGATTTTTGTACAAGGTGAGAGATAGGAATCTAATTTCATTGTTCTATGTGTGGATGTCCAGACCTCCCAGCACCATTTCTTGATTAGGCTGTCTTTTCCCTGATGTATGGTTTTAACACTCATGAAAGATCTAACTGCTGTGGCTGGGTGGCTTATTTCTGGCTCCTCTAGTCTGATCTATTGGTATTCATGTATGTTTTTGTGCCAACGGTGTAGTGCCCTTGCTACTATGGCTTTGTAGTGTGATTTAGAATCAGGTAACATTTAAGTAGTTTGCATTTTTGCCAATATAAATGGTCCTATAATAATATGTTTGTGAGAAGACATAGCTTTAAATGATAAATACTTGAGTTTGAGATGATGTTATCTACTAGTAACTGTATTTCTGAGACTTGACTTTTCCAAATATAAAAAGTATATTTCATGCAAATATTCTACATTTAGAAACATAGGATCATAAAATCACAGGTCACTCTTTATCATTAAGAGTTAGAAATGTGTTTTTGTTTTGTTTTAGACATTGTTATCTGTAATGAAGAACATGGTAGAAGAGAAGATATGGCAAGGCCTTCTTGTATCACTGGATCTGGATTAGAGATTTTTTTTAAAAGAAAGTTAAAATTATTTACTTTTGTTTTAGTGTTCCAATTTCATAAATGTATTTATTTATTTTTGTCATTAAGGACTGAATATAGGACTTCATGAATGTTAGATAAACACTATGTCCCTGAACTGTATACCCATATTCTTTTATCTAAGTAGACTCAGAGAGTAGCAATTAAAATTCAGTGCTAAGCCACAGGATAAACTAATATTCATTGTGGCATTTCCCTTATTTTTTGTATCTGAAAAATAGTAGCTAACTAAGTAGCTAACTTAGTCATTCATAATGAAATATACCAAATGCAATTTTGCCATGTCCGTTTTGGGCATTATAATCTACGTAACTGATTTAGTTGCAGACATCTTCCTATCTGTTAGGTATTTCCACAATGGACAATATGTTTTTGGTGTTTTAACATTAAGCTTTGTGCTTTGTGGAACACTCATAGTCCAGTGTTTTAGCTATTCATGGTTGAAGGATGATTTAAAGAAAACAGGACAAGAAAATGAGCATTATTTTCTTCTACTTCATTGCTTCCAAGGAGGAGTCTTTACAAGGTGAGTGCATATGTTTAATCCTCAACATTGTTATTTTACCCAAGCAGAAGGTCCCCTTTTTTGAAAATATACACAGTCAAATGTGAGAAGTTTCCCATATGCAAGTAGGGCACATATTGCTTGCTTTCAACCATGGGTTTTTATGTACATCATTTCTAGATTCACTAATAGAGCCTTCCCTTTCCATCACTCCTGACCCATTACCCTCTGCAGTGATTTGAATGAGAGGGTTAAATATCTCTGCGGTAGGATGAAACTTCCTTTGGGTATGTGCCCAAGAATGGTGTAGATGGATCTTTACTTAGATCTATGCCCCTTTGCCCAACTTCCTGAGGAACTGACACACTGTTTTCCATAGTGGGTGTACAAGCTTGCACTCCCTTTCCCTGCGCCCTTGCCAGCACATGCTATCATTTGTTTTATTGATATTGGCCATTCTGACTGGTGAAAACTGAAATCTCAAAGTACTTTTAATTTATATTTACTTGATAGCTAACGAACACTGAACATGTCTTTAAGTGTTTCTCAGTCATTCATGTTTCATCTTTTGAGAACTCTCTGTTTAGTGCTATACCTCATTTTGTAATTTGTTTTTTTGTTGGCTAGTTTTTTAGTTATTTATATAGTTTAGATACTAACCCTCTATCAGGTGTATAATTTGTAAAGATCCTTTCCCCTTCTGTAGCCTTTGGCTTTGCCCAAATGATGTGTCCAGTATTTGCCATGCAGAGATTTTACCTTCACGAGGTCCCATTTATTAGTTGTTGATCACTATCCTGTTCAGAAAGACCTTCCCTGTGCAAATGACTTCCAGCCTATTTCACACTTTCCTTTTTGTCAGATTCAGTGTATCTGGTCTTATGTTTGGGTCCTCGATCCATTTGGAGTTAAGTTTTGTGCAGGGCAATGAATACGGATTTATTTGCATTCTTCTACATGCAGCCATCCAGTTTGACCAGTATCATTTGTTGAAGATGCTGTTTTTCCTTCAGTGTGTCTTTTCGGCTTCTTTGTAAAAAATCAGGTGTCAATATTTATTAAGATTGTCTTTGTTATCTTTGTGTGTGTGTGTGTGTGTGTGTGTGTGTGTGTGTGTGTGTGTGTGTGTGTGTATGTGTTTCTATATAAAGATGAAAATGGTTTAATTTCAGTGAAGAACTGTACTGTAATTGTGGTGGAGGTTGTATTGAATCTGTAGAATCCTTTTGGTAGAATGGTCATTTTCACAATATTAATCTTACCAATCCATGAACATGAGAGATCTTTCTATATTGTGACATCTTCAATTTCTTTCTTCAATGTGCTAAAGTTTTTATTATACAAGTCTGCTACTTGTTTCACTAATGTTAGCCCAAGATGTATTTATTTTTGAGGCTATGAAGTATGCTGTTTGTCTGATCTCTTTTTCAGTTTGTCATTTGTATAAAGAAAGCTACTGAGTTTTCTGTGTTAACTCTGTAGCCTGCTACTTTGCTGAAAGTATTTAACAGATGTAGAAATTTCCTGGTGGAGTTTTTAGTTTTTTAAATATATAAAATCATATAATCTGAAGATAAAGATACTTTTACATCTTCCTTTCCAATTTGTATTCCCTTTATCTCCTCCAATTGTCTTATTGCACTAGCTAAGACTTCAAGTACTATATTGAGTAGATAAAGAGAAAGTGACAACCTTGTCTTGTTCATGCTTTAGTGGAAATGTTTTGTGTTTCTCTTTAGATGATGTTGCCTGTGGGTTTGCTGTAAATAGTCTTCATTATCTTCCTTGTATATCCTTTGTATCTCTAGTTTCTCTAGGACTTTTATTATAGAGGGATGTTGGATTTTTGTCAAAGGCCTTTTCTGCATCTACTGAGATAATGTTATATTTTTTTATCCTTCTGTCTTTTTATACAGTGGATTGCATTTATTGATTTAGGTATGCTAAATTATCCCTGCATCTCTGGAATGAAGCTTTAACCTTGTTAGGCTATATATATAGGACCAGATACACTGAATCTGACAAAAAGGAAAGTGTGAAATAGGCTGGAAGTCATTTGCACAGGGAAGGTCTTTCTGAAGAGCAAAGAGATCAACAACTAATAAATGGGACCTCGTGAAGGTAAAAATCTCTGTATGGCAAATACTGGACACATCATTTGGGCAAAGCCAAAGGCTACAGAAAGGGAAAGGGTCTTTTAACCTGATAGAGGGTTAGTATCTAAACTATATAAATAACTAAAAAACTAGCCATCAAGAAAACAAGAAAACAAATTACAAAATGAGGTATAGAACTAAACAGAGAGTTCTCAAAAGATGAAACATGAATGACTGATAGGGTCAGCCTGGGTCAGTACCAAGAGGTGGAGTCCCCACTGAATGGAGATGAGGTGGGAGGTGGGCTCCTACAACCTGACTGCTATAGGACTGAATGTGAGCCTGGAGACGTAGCCAACATTGCTATTCTTTAATCCAAACAGACACGACCTGTTTTGTAGCTGAGTAGTCAGATGAGCAAAGGTACAAAGGTTCTTTATTTGAAAATAGCACAAAGGTTACTTGCTCTTTGCTATTGCTGTTTGTGTGAGTCCTTGCTGTAATGACAGAATTTTCCAGATTCATGAATATAGTATTTTCATCTAAAAAGTATTTTACTGTGTTTAAGAGAGAAAATTTGTGAAATGGGAAACTTTTTTGCCTTAGGGAAGCTGAGAAAGACAGTATTTTAGTCAGTTCTGGAAGTGCACATTCTCAATTAGATGAAAAGAATGGTGTAAAGGTTAGTGTTGATATGCAAATATATCTATAGTAGATAAGACTTAATGTGTAGCACATATAACCACTGAGAGTTATATAGTTATACTAGGTCAAAGGACGTAAGGATTATACTTTGGGAGGTGTATTTTTGTGTTATTTTTTCATTAGCATGCAATACAGTGTGTTTCATTAAGTGATTTCATACATGTATATCACCGTACTTCACTCGCATTCATTCAGCCTTCTGTTACCCCTCTTCCTCATCTCCTTCTCCCACCAGAGTAGTCTTATTTCTGTTTTCATGACTTTTATATGTTTTGACTTTCCATATCTGAGAGAACACTTGTGATATTTGTGTTTCCTCCCACTTTTTACATCTTTTGCCTTTCTTTCCTTTTATTGTTTACCCCCTTCTCCCCTTAAGTAGTACCCCTTCTATCTTCACGTCATTTGTATTTAGGATGTGGTATATTAGATAAAATATGACACTTATTTCTTGAGTTTGGTTTCTTTTGATTACATTATGGTCTCCAATTCCATCTATTTTTCTTTCAAGTGGTAAAATTTCGTTATTTATAACTGAGTAAAATAACAAAGGTCATGAAAGGTGTCTGTGTTCATGTCTGCTTTACACATACAAAGAGACTTGAGAATGTCCACATGAAACAATAATGAATTGTAGTTGTGGAGGAGGGTGACAGCCAAGAGGTAGGATTATAGGAATGGGATGGAGATTAGTCACATTATGGCTTTAAAAAATTATGTCAATGTTTTGTCTGTGTAAACAACTAAATGAAGCAGAGAAAGAAAAACCACCAAATTATGTTGGCTGTTAGTGAGGGATAGGTGACAAAAGTTCATTTTTAATCTTTATTTTATAATTCCTCAGTCCAGGAAATGGAAGACTCCTGAGACAACTAGTAAGAAGTAAGCAAAAGTAGAGCAGTTTGTTAAATTCACAGGGTTGTCTAGGCTAAGTATTGAAAACTTGGGATTTCCTGAATTGTAGGATCATTTTCTTAAAGAATAAGAATAAAGTGTTTGTGTTGGTGGATGGATGATGATGAGAGTCTCCATGAATTATTTACTAGATATATGTGTCTATAGCTTCTAAGTATGGTATATCTAATGTAGCATGACATACAGATTTAGGAGTGTTATGCTATTGTGCCAACTCTTTTTTTTTTTTTTGAGATAGGGTTTCTTTGTGTAACAGTCCTATCTGTGCTGGAACTTACTCTGTAGACCTGGCTGGCCTTGAACTAACAAAGATCCACCTGCCCCTGCCTCCCAAGTGCTGGGATTAAAGGTGTGTTATGCTATCATGATGAGATGATGAGTTGATTCTTATGTCATTATAACATTCCCTCCTCATCCTTATTAATCCTGTCCCAGTCTATTTTTGCCTGGGATATCAGTACAACCATGTCAACTTATTCTTTTTGTGATTTCCTTTGAAACTTTGTGTTTTATGTGCAAGTATTTTGCTAGCCACATACGTTTGCACCTTTTTAAAAAGATTTATTTTTATTTTATGTGTATGAATGTTTTGCCTATTATGTCTATGTTCTGTATGCACACTATGCCTGCAGAGGTCAGCCAAAGGTGTTGGATCCCCTGGAACTGGAGTTATAGATGATTGTGAATTGTCATGGAGGTGCTGAGAATTGAATTTGGGTCCTTTGGATGAGCTGCCAGTGCTTTTAACTTTGAGTGATTTTTTCCTTCCCTGCTCTCTCTCTCTCTCTCTCTCTCTCTCTCTCTCTCTCTCTCTCTCCCTCCCTCTTTTCTTGCATGTGTGTGGCTCTCTCTTTCTCTCTCTAAATCAGCCTCTTTAAAATGGGTGTCTAACCTATTTCTATTTCAATATCAGTATAGATACAGATATTATGTACTTCTGGCTTTCCTTATTTCTGTTGAGAAATCAGCTAACATTCTCATTGTTTTCTATTTAGAAGATTCTTTTCTCTATATACTGAACTCTGAGTAATTAAGAATGATATGGCCCTGTGTAGCTTTGTTTATTATTTCTGTCTGAGTTCACTAAACTTCATGAATCTGTAAATTGCTGTTTTGATGATGATGAAATATATACTCATCAATATTTTGTCAAACCAACTTTCCTGTTTTAGTTTCCTTTTCTTCTGGGATTTAAATTCTACAAGTTCATTTCATAGGTCCCCCCCCCTTTTGTTTCTTCATGGTTTCACCCTGTTTCTATTGAGATATTACCTTTGTCAGGTGAGGTTCCTATAACATTTAAAA